TATTCCCCCCTCCCTTCACTTATTCCCCCCCTCCTTCATTTATCCCCCCCCTCTCCTTCACTTACTCCCCTCCCTTCACTTACTTCCCCCCCTCACCTCTCCTCCCCTCCCCTGTAGCGTGGCCGAGCTGCTCGCTGGTCCGCGGTGCCCGGTCGGACTGATAGGAAGGTGCACACTCAGTGTGCACTTCCTGTCAGTCCGGCCGGCTACAGGACACAGAAACTCCGCGCGGAACAGAATTTCCTGTTCCGCGCGGAGTTTCTGTTTCCTGTAACCAGCCGGACTGACAGGAAGTGCACACTGAGTGTGCACCTTCCTATCAGTCCGGCCGGGCACCGCGGGCCAGCGAGCAGCTCGGCCATGCTACAGGGGAGGGGAGGAGAAGAGCAGCTGCAGCCGCCTGAGGCTCTTCACAGAGCGCTCAGGCGGCTGCAGCATTTAAAGGGCCAGCCCTGCACTGGCCGGTCCTAACAGAATTTAGGGCGGCCTGGGGGGCAATTGCCTCCCTGCCCCCCGGCCCAGCCCGCCCCTGGTATGGAGTAGTGGCCTTTGGATTTAGCTGCGATTAGGTCGTTAGTAACTTTGATAAGCGCAGTCTCAGTAGAGTGGAGAGGGCGGAAGCCAGATTGAAGAGGGTCAAGGAGAGAGTTGGAATTGAAGAAATGAGACACACGGGTAAAGACAAGTCTTTCCAGAAGCTTTGAGGAATAAGGGAGCAGGGATATGGGATGATAGTTAGAGGGGGTGGACAGGTCGAGGGATGGTTTTTCTTAGTATAGATACTACAGTGGCATGTTTAAGGTCAGCAGGGACAATGCCAGAAGAGAGAGAGCAGTTGAAGATGTGCGTTAAGGAAGGCACGAGACAAGTGGAGAGAGATCTAATAAGGTGAGTGGGCAAGTGGTGGGGCAAGAGGAACAGAGAAGAGCAGCCACCTCTTGGTCAGTAGCCGGGGAGAATGTCTGAAGGGTAGGAAAGGCATGATCTATGTGTGGTTGAGAAACAGAATGGCAAGGAGGGGATAATTCTTTACTTAGCTGTTCAATCTTGTCAGTAAAGTAACATGCAAAGTTATCAGCAGTAAGGTTAGTTTGGGGGGTGGCCACAGCAGGGCAAAGAAGAGAATTAAAGGTGTCAAAGAGACGCCTGCTATTGCGGGAGCATGAACTAATGAGAGAGAAAAAGTAGTACTGTTTGGCAAGGGCAAGGGCTGCGCTGTATGAACACAATATGCATATGAGAAGTGCATGGTGATTGTAGTGCACACACAGCACGTCTCCAATTCTTCTCCACACATGACTTAAATATGACAACAGAGACCAGAAAAATCAGATTAGGCCCAAAACAAATTAACAATCAAAATCATAGCCTCTCTCCATCGATAAAGAGCACATCTGCAGAAAAAATAAAAATAAAAAACCCCCATAAATCAGCCTAATAATGTGCTCCTTACCTAGTCCACTATTGTATCCGCGTCTCTTCTTGCACATCATTTAATGTACTGTTATGAGGACTTATTGAACTAGAACATATGTGATATGATGCAAGTAAACATGTTCAGTAATTCTATTATTGGTTTCAGGAGTGTCAGGAAGTCACTAGTTCCTAGTTTCAACATATACCACTGGAGGAAGATCGGAGCACATTCATTTGCTGCATTTTGATCAATTCTGGACTGTCCCTTTTCTTCCCATAGGGTGAAGTCAAATCATTCATGTCAGGGATAGTAAACATTCAGGACTCCAGATGTTGTGGACTACATCCTCCATAATGTTCTTACAGCCATAATGCTGGAAAAGTATCAGGGGAGATATAGTCCACAACATCGGGAGTGCCGAAGTTTGCCTACACCTGATCTATGTTTCTGGGTCTGTATAACCCAGTAAGCTTTCACAGGCCCAATATGTTAATTACCACTACAGTCCTGTGCTGCCTATTAAGCTGATATCCACCATCTTCCTGACGATAAAGGACTGATAGTTGTCATATAACTTGTGTCAAATACACTGGTTTTGCCGTTTCCAGCTTCTGTTTTTCTGCATTTGCACTTGTCCTTTTAACCCCTTAAGGACACAACTTCTAGAATAAAAGGGAATCATGATGGAATATTTCCGTTATGTGTCCTTAAGGGGTTAAAATTGTTCACAAGGGATATGCAATTGCTTACTGTTTTGCTCAGTTTTTGAGGAGGTCTCTGTGCTCATGTATGTGGTAGTCCACAAGAGCTGGACTACTACTGGTTGGGAACTCCTGGTCTCAGTTTTTGAGGAGGTCTCTGTGCTCATGTATGTGGTAGTCCACAAGAGCTGGACTACTACTGGTTGGGAACTCCTGGGAACTCCTGGTCTCTAATTGCATGTATATACTCAATCTGTTCTCTCTAATCTTGGTATTTTTCTCTCCTAGTAATTTCTCTGTTACATTACTAAAATATGACTAAAAATCTCATTACTCCTTTCCCTCAGGTTCTAGAGCTCTCTCCCTTGGCTGCTCTTTCTCGCGGATACCGTGATGAACTGGACAGTCTAAGAGAGCGTTCTCGACGCTCTGAAACTCAAGTGAATTCTCTAACTGAGAAATTGCGCAATATGGAGTTCTATCAGAGAGCACTACAGGTATGTTACTTCCTATACCATTGCTGACAGCATGGTGCTTGAGTAAAAGAGATATTTCCAAAGTTATAATTGATATTTGTTTTAATAATTCTGTACAGGAGGAGAAAGAGTTCTCCAGGGCCCTCCTTGAAGATAAGGAGGTCTTGGAGCAGCAATTGTCAGCAGAAAGAGGACGTTTTGAGAAACTACGGCTTTGTGAGAAGGAAAAGATGACAATGGAAGAGAGCCTACAAAGACTGAAGATGGTGAGGGATATATATAGATTACATGAAATCACAACCCATGTGATTAAAATTAAGGATTAACTACAGAATGTGGCCAAAAATTTTAAGTTTGTTAACTATGCCAAGTACCCAGCAACCAGGGCATAAACTGCAAAGGTCTCTGTGCATCTGCCAATTTAAAGTAGGCTTTAACCCCTTAAGGACCAAACTTCTGGAATAAAAGGGAATCATGACATGTAACACATGTCATGTGTCCTTAAGGGGTTAATCTTAAAAAAGTTTCTCATGAGGGCAACGGATGAGATTGAAATCTGAGCAGACCATTGCGTAATGTGTGTTGAAACATGAGACTTGCTATAGTATTGCTCCTCTGGTATTAATTTGTTTACATCATAACTCATCTCATTATGTTCTCTATATATATTCTCGGAATCTACATGGATTTATGAACATGGGAGTAATTTAAGAGTGTCATGTGTCATGTTCTGGTGCAAGATGTGAACGTCAATACAGTCTAGTTTGGGAGATATTTCAATCCCCCCAGTTAGAGCTCTGCAGCTCCCCCAGTTGATGACTGCCTTCACCCCTCGATGGCATCCCCGGTCTCATTCAATCTTTAGCCTAGTTGTACCTTTACAGAGGAAAATGTTGGCCAATCAGCATCTCCTCATAGAGATTAATTGAATCAATGTATCTCTATGAGGAAAGTTCAGTGTCTGCATGCAGAGGGAGGAGATACTGAATGTTTGGATGCATTTTAGGCAGCCATGACCCAGGAAGTATCTCTAACAGCCATCTGAGGAGTGGCCAGTGAAGTTATCACTAGGCTGTAATGTAAACAATGCATTTTCTCTGAAAAGATAGTGTTTACAGCAAAAAGCCTGAAGGTAATGATTATACTCACCAGAACAAATTCAATAAGCTGTAGTTGTTCTGGTGCCTATAGTGTCTCTTTAAGGTCCCTTATTGTGACTGCTCTTTTTTTAATAGGAAAGAGATTCAGAGTCTCAAAGAGTGCAACTACTTCTCCATGATAATTTGACACTGGCCGAAGAGATACGAGTACTCAGAGAAGAGACATCCCGAGGCTGGGACAGAGTGTATGAAACAGACTCTGAGATTTCTTTAAGCTGGGAGAGAAGAAATGAGAATGATGGAGAGCATTCTTGGGAGAGATTGCAAAGCCCAGACTCTGAATGTAAGTACATATGTATGAGAAGAGCTAGGCATCCTAAATGTTTATGGAATGCATTTCTAAAAACTGATTGAGCATCATGGGAAATGTAGTCTTCAGATTGCTACAATTCCTAAGGTAGCCATCACTGCTATATAGATCAATGCAAATAGTTTCAAAAATATTGACTTGTTCATAATGCTTCATGAAACCATACAGTATCAATTTCCATAGAGACCATGAAAACACATTCAGGGCTATTTAAGGATGTGAGACTATACCGATTACCATATCTTGAAAACCAAACTATTGGTGCAGAAGCAGAGATACTATTTTTTTTAACATACAGTAGTTTATATAAAAAATATATAGGAAAGAAACAGTCCAATACGCTACTTTAAACAAATATTATGTGGTAGGCACTCCTATAGAAATCCACATTATTTCTCATGATGACTAATATGAAATAAAGATCTTAAACTCCTCTTCCTGTATAACAAACTGCCTCTGAGGAGGGGGACTGACTCCACTACTGATAGCTCTGACTGCTGCTAGGAAGGGAGGTTGATGCTCTCCCTGTATAACAAACTGCCGCTGGGAAGGCACACAAACACACAGTCAGACACACACACACAGAGTCAGACACACACACACACACACACAGTCAGACTCAGACACACACACACACAGTCAGACACAAACAAACAGTCAGACACACACACAGACACAGTCAGACACACACACACAGTCAGACAGACACAAACACACACACACAGTCAGACAGACACACACACACACAGTCAGACAGACACAAACACACACACAGTCACACACACACACAGTCAGACACAAACACACACACAAACACACAGTCAGACACAAACACACAGTCAGACAAACACACACACACACAGTCAGACACAAACACACACACACACAGTCAAACACACACACACACACACAGTCAGACACAAACACACAGTCACACACACGCAAACACACACACACACAGACACAAACACACACACAGTCAGACACAAACACGCGCACACAGTCAGACACACACACACACAATCACTCACATTAACACTTTTTTTTTTTTTTAATTTAACCCCCCCTCCCAGCCTCCTTACCTTGGGGAGTGCTGGGGGTAGGGGTTCCTCTTTCTCCCTGGTGGTCCAGGGCTGCCGGTCGGGCTGATGGGCTGGCGAGGGAGCACTTTCTCTGAGCTGACTGCTCAGCCCCCTCCCGTGCCGCAGAGTGAGGCTGGGAGCCGGAATATGACGTCATCGTCCGGCTCCCAGCCTCACTCTGCGGCGCACGAGGGAGCTGAGCAGACCGCTCAGAGGAAGAGCTCCCTCGCCAGCCACCCGCCCGACCATCAGCCAGCGCCGCCCAGCACCCAGCATGTCAGTTAGCCGCGAGGCTAACTAGGCATTTGCCCTGGGCATTTGGGGGCGGCCCCTGAAAAATGCCGCCCAAGGCAAATGCCTTGTTTGCCTCGCGGCTAATACGTCCCTGAACACAACCTGCCACTGGGAGGGAGACCGACACTCTTCCTTCCCATAGTTGTAAAGTCAAGCAAATCATCAGTTTCGAGGAACTGCTGCAGAATCAAGTCAAACAGTCGTTGGTAATCTTGCTCCAGCTCCCACTCCCTGGCAGCCAGGTGTGTCAGGTCTGGTCCCAGCCCAATAGTTCCAGGAGGCTTCAGCAGGACTTCCCTATCACTGCAAATGTCCCAGAGACAAAATTCTTCAGGACTCCCAAAATAAATGTCATCCTCAAAGGACTCCCACAACAAGCCAGAGCCATCATAGTCCTCACCCTCTGGCACATCATCCTCAGCCATCCACGAGTATTGCCGGGCAACGTACCACCATAACGCCTGGTAAGCCTCGTCCAGCTACAGTTCCTTCCAGACCAGGCTCTCGAGTTCCATCACCCACTCCTCCAGGGACTGCTCTCCCAGGAAAGGCCTTTGCAGAGCCTCTTGTTTCTGAATACGCTGCTCTTGCCTTGGGAGGCTTTCTCTCCGCTAAACCTGAACTTCCTCTAGGACCCCATACCAGAGCTCCTTCTGAATGGCATTCCTCCAGTCCAGCTCATGCTCTTCTGAGACCAGGCTATAATCTCGGGACACAGCTGCTTGTAGCTTCTGCTAGGACTCCTCCTCCTGTGGGGACACTGCACAGATGCTAGCTCTCTCCATCTCCACAAATTCCAAAAGGCACGCTGGGGTCCCAGAAGATGCGCCGGTGTCCAGGGATGTTTCCCCAGTCGCTAGGAAGTAATCCCACTTCTAAAACCAAATGTGCCACCTCCCTCTTCTGCTTTGGACTGCAATGAAAGTGATTTTGGGTCATTGTCTTTTTAAAGGGAACTATTTATTTTCCGAAAATTACACAAATAAGTACAACAATAAAAAAAAACAACCTATAACATGTGTGAACCTTTTCCACAAGGTGCTCTGTTTTCTTTTTAAATTTGTGATTTGTGAATTGTTTTAAACAACATCAAAATTCCCAGATTTTACTATTAACATGACGTAAAGTCATGATTTTATTAATGACACGGAGGCGAGTATTATGCTATCTCTTTCTTACTTTATTCCTCAGCAGCAAAGAGAAATATAAAACTGAAAGAGAAAAATGTAGATATGCAATAATAATAATAACAGGTACAACCAGATCTGCCTAGTAACAGGGCAGCCAATCAGTCTCTAGGAACAGTCCATAAATCTCTATCCTTGTACTTCCACTTCCTCTTCTTTGCCTTCCGAACCGAAGACCCAAAGCAAAATATCCAAGCAGTAAATAAGAAACGTCAAACTGGTAGACATCAACAGACCGGAATCAAGCTGTAAAACAAAGAAATATGTGGTAAACTCCAAACTTAGGAACTGAGTGCAACATATCGAATATACGTGACCTGCAAATAGAGAGCATCATACTCAAATCCATGTACATATGTCACACTCTACAACACCATATACTCAATACAAGTAACACATGTGCACTTACCGTGAGATAAGACGAACCCCCCGATTGAACCCTAAGCGAAAAACCAGACCCAGACCCACGGGAGGGTGGGTGGGAATAATACTCGCCTCCGTGTCATTAATAAAATCATGACTTTACGTCATGTTAATACCGTGTTTCCCCGAAAATACACCCTACCCCGAAAATAAGACCTAGCTGAATTTTCGGGGTGGGCTGCAATATAAGCCCTACCCCGAAAATAAGACCTAGGCATTGTACCTTTCGGTCCGGCGGGACTTCCTTCTTCTATGAGGAGGAGGAGGAGCGTTGCAGGCCGCGGCATCGCGCAACGTGATGACGACGTGCGCAGCGTCGTCAGTCTGCCTTCACGGATCTTCAGCGGAAGGATCCATTTCCGAGCGGTGAGGCACCCAGTGGTCGGACTCGGCGGGCAAGGAAGGCATCTGTGAGTAGATATTTTATGTCTGGGACTGAATTAATTAAAGGGGGCGGTGAATTAATTAAAGGGGGGGCGGGATTAATTAGAGGGGGGTGGATTTATTAAAGGGGGGTTGGATTAATTAAAGGGGGGGTGGATTTATTAGAGGGGGCTGGATTAATTAAAGGAGGGTGGATTAATTAAAGGGGGGTGGATTAATTAAAGGAGGGGTGGATT